GGCTGCATTAACAGAGGGATAGAATTAAGATCACGTGAAGTATTAATACCACTTTACAATGCCTTGGTAAGGCCACACTTGAAATACTGCATCCAGTTTTGCTCGCCACGATGTAAAAAAGATGTTGAGACTCTAGAAAGAGTACAGAGAAGAACAACAAAGATGATTAGGGGACTGGAAGCTAAACCATATAAAGAACAGTTGTTAGAATTGGGTATGTCTAGTTTAATGAAGAGAAGGAGAAGGGGGGACATGATAGCGGTGTTTCAGTACCTCAGGGGTTGCCACAAAGAAGAGGGAGGCAAGCTATTCTCCACAACATCTGAAAGTAGGACAGAAGCATTGCATGGAAACTAATCAAGTAGAAAAGCAACCTAGAACTAAGGAGAAATTTTCTGACAGTTGTAACAATTAATCAGTGGAACGACTTGCCTCCAGAAGTTATGACTTCTCCAACACTGGAATTTTTAAAGAAGAGATTAGACAACGATTTGTCTGAAATGGCATAGGGCAGTGATGGCAAACTTTTTAGAGACTGAGTGCCCAAACTGCAACCCAAAACCCACTTATTTATTGCTGGGTGCCAGGTGGGCATGGCCCACTGGGTAGGTGTGGCTGTGGTGGTCATGGCAGACTGGGTGGGTGTGGCCAAGGTAGGCGTGGTCACCTCAATATTGTTCATGGGGAGGGATGCCTGTGGGGGCCGGGCAGGGTTGGGGGAGATCCAGGTGGTCTCTGGCAGGTGGGGTGGTGGGTAGGAGGCTCGTCCTGTGGGGTGAGGCAAGGCAGGGTGGGAGTGCCATTATCTCAGGGCAAGGCAAGGCAGGGGCCGGGGCAGCTGCTGCCTGACACCATTGGCGCCCGCACACAGAGGCCAGCAAGCGCATGGGGGCCGACAGTGTCCATCAGCAGCCACAGCCTGCCGGCCCCTCAACTGGCACACTCTGGGGCTCCGCAGCCCGCCATCAGCAGTTCAGAGAAGTGCCCACAGAGAGAGCTCTGAGTTCTGCCTCTGGCACGCATGCCATAGGTTCGCCACCACTGGTATAGGGTTTCCTGCCTAAGCAGAGAGTTGGACCTCCAAGGTCCCTTCCACGTCTGTTATTCTGTTATTCACCTTTGTTTAGGCTTTGCAATAACCCTATAAAGTGGTTTGGCCTAATGAAGTGTAGCCAATCCAAAATAATCAATTGAATTTCATTACTTTTATCTGGTTTTTCTAATACATTCAATATCTCCAAACCATCCCCCCCTTTCTCCTCTATTTTTGGCTCGCTGACACATTGAGAATTTTGACAGCATATTATGGGCATTTTTATAGATTGAACCTTAAAATGGGAATAGCTAGTTAACAAAACAGCTGCTTACCAGAAGGCAAAGATGTGCTCCTTATTATGCTTACAAATTCCCAAAGTTTATATTACTATCCCAGTTTGGCTCTATTTTCAAAACATACTTTCAAATAGAGCATAGGGCTGTAGTCCAATTTTATTTCTAATATATTCCCCAGGAAAAAAATATGTATACAGAATCTTTCAAACTGGTGATTATCAATATCAGTTCCTGGGGACATATCTGGGAAGATTCCGTTGTATTCAAATTATGTTTGTGCATATTTGGTATTTTTTGTGAAATGCAACAGCCAATATATAATAAACAGAGAAAAATACAAAAATGATATAAAGGAATTAATATATAATATTAATGCAGTAATAATTATTAATACAGATAATAAAAAGTTATAATATTTTAGTAACAATAAAGTGAACTTAAACTGAAGAAAAGGGAGCAATATCATAACTAATTTTTTAAAAACTGAATTATATCTAGATCATACAAAAGTATGTTGCTCTACCTGCAAGTCATTTTTACATTAAATATCAGTGTTTATATAAATATTAAAATGCTCTGATCTAGGGCTATTCAGTCATTTCGGAATCTGAATATTAGCAATAGTACTTGTGAGAAGGATTTGCATGTCATGCAAATGTCTTGCATAAACCAGCACTATGTCACAACTTCCAAAACATCCACTGCAGTTTTGGGTTGTATCAACAGAAGTACATGGTTAAGATAATGAAAGATAATAGTATCAGTCTACATTGCAGTGGTCAGGCTGAATCTGGGATGCTGCATCCAGTTCTTGCTGACATAAAACAAAAACAAAAATGGACAAATCTGGAAAAAATGCAGAAAAGGGACACATAATAGGAGGCTAAGTTCTATGAAGAGTGGTTAAATATTTAGTTAAAAGGAGAGTAAATTAAGGAAACATGAATTTTCCAATACTTGTCATAAGGTAAAAAGTGTGTATTTATTCTCCATAACATCGATGGGTTAGCCATGATCCAATGGAGGTTTCCAAAAAATATTCATATTTTTGAATTTTTTTTTGAAATGCAAAATTTCCTGACTGTGAGAGTTATTACATAGTGGAAAAGCTGCCTCCTGAAACCACAAGTCCTTTCCCAAGAAAGCAATGGAGAGCCATTTTTCTTAGGATAAGGTGAGAATTTTCGGGATAAGGATAATCAAAAAGACAAAACAAAAATCCTGGGGGTGCTTTAGAAAAACATTAGCAGATAATGAGAGATCAGTCTGTAGAATGTTTTTCAAAGTAGTCAAAAGTATACAGAAAAGAGAGGACAATTATAACCTCACAGAGATAATCAATGGCAAGAACAGAAAGCCACTCGTAGAACCATCAGAAGTCATAGAAAGCTGGAGAGAACATTTCAAAGAAAATATCATGAAGAAACCACGCAAGACTACAATACAGCAGCACTAAAACCAGAAATATTAATTAAAGAAATAGCATGAATTATTAATGGGTCACCTAAATATAAAGCACAGAGAATAGATGGAATGCCAACAGAAATAATCCAAGCAGCTGGGGAAAGTAACATCAGATTTGTACATAGAATTTTTAATTCAGCGTGGACACAAATAACTGCACCTACTGATTGGAAACAAGCAATAATAATACCACTGTGGAAAAATAAAGGGAGAAAATGAGAATGTACACAATATTGGGGCATCTAATTCTTGAACCATGTAGCGAAAATGTACACCAAGATAACAGAAATGAGATTAAGACCAATTATAGAACCACAACTAGCAGAAGAGCAGATGGGGTTTAGAATAAATAGAAGCTGCACATATGCAATGTTTGTGTTTTTAATAACTAATAGAAAAGAACATGGAATACAATAAGAATATTTTTGTTATATTTATAGACCAAGAGAAAGCATTTGATAGAGCTGATGGTAAATTGCTATGGCAAACACTGACCCAATATGGGGTAAGTGAACATCTAATTAGTGTATGCAAAAACTCATTGCAGAAGTGTAGTTAGAACAAATCAAGGAACATCAAAACCTTCATAATAAAATCCGGACTAAAAAAGAGATGTGTATTATCACCACTATTATTTATCACCTACATTTAAGAATACCTTAAACATAATAAAGGAGAGAATAAGCATAAAACAAGTATCAAAATTCAAATATCTGGGAACAACATTCACCATGGTAAAAATTACTTCTCTGCTGGAAAGGGAAGGGAGAAACAGGGAAGAAGGAGGGAAGAGAGGAAGGAAGGGAAGAAAGAGAAAGGAAGAGAAAAAGGAAAGTAATAGGAAGGGAAGAAGATTGGGAAGGAAATAAGAAAGAAGAGAAAAACAGGAAAGAAGGAAATGAGGGAGGGAAGGAAGGAAGAGGGAGGGAGATTTCTGACATTTCCTGCCGGCTTCCCAAAAAAGAAACTCCATGGAGAAGCTGGCAAGATTAGAAGTTGCTCCTGCTCCTACTGTTTTTTGTCTATCTGTGATCATTCAGTTTCTCTGTTTAGGCAAGGAAATATCTCTGAAACTATGACCCAATGGGTCATGGATTTTCTAGTAATATCTAATATTGACATACTATATTAGTAAACACAAATAAACATAATAAAGCCTACACTTATTTCATACTGAAATCTGGAACATAGCAGAAGTATTGTGGAAAATAAACAATAGGAATTTATGGGGCTGACTAAAGAAAAAGCTTTTTGCCCTTTATTTCAAATTCTTTAAATTCTTAGACTTAACAAATACTTTTTCATTTATTTAAGAATGAAGGTAAACTAATTAGGTGGGTTTTCAAATGTGTCATTCCAAAGGTCTCCAATAGCAGTATGTTAGTTAAATAGGCAATTTCCAAAATTGATTAGAAATTGAGGTTAGCAAAGCCTCTTTTAAAAGGCTCCATCAGGATGCATCGATCCATTCATCTTCCAATACTCACACCTGTGGGAGTCCACTGTCCTATGGTCTCCTCACGAGAAGCAGCCATATAGAGCATATGTCAGTAAGTTCCCATCCTCTCCTTGTCCAGAGAGGATCCTAAGAACCAGTCCACTTCAGTCTTTGCCAAGGTTTTTGTCTCAGCTCTGTTGGAGATGTGCTTAGTTCACCATGCCTCTCCTGGAAGTCCTGTTATATTTAGAAGAACATTGAGTGTTGGCATTTTCTCCTTGGATAGGTATTTATAATAGTTCTAATTTTATTATTGCTACATGTTGTTACATTTATTGAGTTATTGTAATGTGTTCTGATTTTGATACTGTACTATTCAGTATCAATGGACCCTATGAAACCTAGCAATATGAAAATATAGTAAATAAAAATAAGATCTCTTTATAAAAGTATAGATACATATTAATGATATATTTATACATACAACGGTGAGTATGCATGAATTAAGTTTCACATACTGTAGTTCAGAAAATCCAACCTGATAGATGAATATTAATATAATTAATATATTGACATACTGATATTATTGACTTGTTCATATTACTTTTTTAATACCAGTTCAATAGTTCTAAAAACTTATAATATTTTTCTTCTTGACTACCTGATTTGTATAGAAACTAGATTGAAAAGTTGGGGTATCTTCATAGCCACCAATTAAAATTGCAACACCACAACTGTTTGGAATATAAAACTGCATTTTAATGTCATGATGAACCAGGAGGAGTGGGCTAACCTGAGTCCCTCGGAGTTTTCTCAGCTTCAAAAATATGCAGAATGTAAGTACATTTATATTTCTACAATTTCATAATGAATTATCAAACTTATAATTATAAACTTACAAAAAGTAATAGAAAAGAAGTCTAAAAGCTACATTTAATTTAAAATCTACATGCTATATTCTCTTTTCAAAACAGAAAAATCAAGGCATTTAAAATAATGAAGTAATTATGAATAATACACAATAAAATTGGTAAATAATTAAGAAACATTGAATTGAATATGTGATTAGACCAGGGATGTCAAACTCGCAACATCACGTGACGTGTCATGATGTATCACAACTTTTTTTCCATTGCCAACAATGGGGTGTGCGTGGTTTTGCTATGATGCATCTGGCCCATGGGCCGGCAGTTGGACACCCCTCGATTAGACACACAAGGGATTTGTCTCTGGTGCAGAACCTCTCAGTGTACATGCAAAGTAACAGAATAATGATAATTATCGTCTTCATCATCATTATCATTATCACTATCATCATCATCATCATCATCATCATCATCATCCCAATAAAAGGGGGGAATAAAGAAGATAATAAGAAGGCTAAATAATACTAAGCCATAAAAAAAATTCAATGAATGATACATAAATTTGTTTTTTTCTCTAATTTAATAATTCTTTTGCAGCTTCTCAAACCTTACAGTATATATATCTTCACCTATTTGTATAAAAATTACAATATACAAATATGAACAATTGAAAGTTATAACAATTGTTATAAAATGTATATTTCTCTGCTAGGTATTATTTTCTTGCCAGTATGATGTTTTGTAGACAAATACAATATTTTTGTTGTTGGGGTAATAATCTATGACTGATGCACACAATTGCTTCCTCATACTGCTGTTATATTGCAGGGGTTCCCAACCCCTGATCCACAACCCTTGGACTGGGTACTGGTCTGTATCCTGTTACAAACTGGGCCATGTAAGTGGTGGTTGAGTGAGTGAAGCTTCATCTGCACATGTGCAGGATCTAGGTTGTATTGGAAACCATTCCTCCCCTCTGGACCATGTAAAAATTGTTTTCCACGGTGCCAGAAATGCAATAACATGTATTGCATGGTAGAAAATCTTGGGAACATTAATCTGAATAGATTTTCCATGAGAGTTTAGATGTGCTTTCATATACTCCATTTTACTTAGATACAATAATTGGCAGATTTGTGTCAGGGATAATGGGCAAAATTTTGAAGAATTGGTCATAGGGTTTTGTAATATCTACTAAGCATTTTGCAGAGCTGCTCCAAATTCATTCTAATGAAATAAAAACAACTCATTACTCAAAAATCATGTTTTATATTTGTGAATGTTTCCCTGATAAAAGAAATATGAATTTCTTCACCCTTACTTCTACTTTAATTAAAATAACAATCTTTGAATTGGCATATATGATTATTATAGGAAGGATTTGTTAGAAAAGGTGATGAAAGCCAACTGTGTGTTTTTAAAAAGTGCTTTCCCAACTTAAAACAGGGTTGAGTAATCTGGGTGGATCAGAATGCTTTTGCATAGATTTTGAATTAATTGCATATGTAGAATTCAACATCTTAATATTAAAAACATTCTCAGATTTAACTTCATGCCCTTTCAAAATCCAACTAGTTGAGAAAGAAGAGAGTTTTAATAGGGTAATTTTGGAACAGAGTGTCTTACATTTTGTTAGTATTTATTTATTAAGTAAATTGCAATTACAAATTAAAAATTGCTATATTCCAATAGCCTAGTTAATATAATTAATGAGATTTCTGACAGGCTTTATTGCAATTGGGATGAAGTAGACAATGTTCTGGTGAAAACAGTATATTGAATTATTTGTCATGGAGCCAAAACATAAATGCTATTTGTTTAGGAAAGTACTTTACTTTCAAAAAGTAAAAGACTTCCAACACTATTTTTACAGATTCAACAAAGAAAATTAAAGATGTTTTAGAAGAATTCCATGGCAATGGTGTGCTAGCAAAATATAATCCTGAAGGGGTAATTTTTCTTTCTTATCTAATTTCTTACATTATACTTGTTGCTAGAAATTCACTCCATTATTTCTGTGCCCTTTAAATCATTATATACATAACTAGAACATATTAATACTTCCCTGCAGATGGTTTTAACTCTGATCTATTTCAATCAAACACCTGCACAGTGCTCCAGAAGTACTGAGTGTTCATTTTTATTCAAGTGATTTCCCTTTAAGCAAATAGAAATTATCAGTAGGACATTTTATTTCAGCTGACTGCTCATGCTGCCTTAATACCCCAATGCAGTAATGTGTAAGCAGCAATCTGTAGATAATGTGTAAATGGCAATCTGTAAATAAAATGCCCCATTGATAAGCTTATTAATTCTTGGTCCAATTAAATATTATTGTTAAAATGTTAAGAATATTATTGACATATCTGAGAGATGCCTTTCGCTAAGGACATTTACCCATCCTACCAGGGTGAGCAATGAGCATGTTCCTTGTTCCTTTTCCTAAATATTATCATCTAATACAGGGGTGTCAAACTCCCAGCCTGTGGGCCAGATGCGTCATGCTGAAACTGCATCCACCCCATTGCTGGCAATGAAAAAAAATCACAATATATCGTGACACGTCATGTGACGTTGCGAGTTTGACACCCCTGATCTAATAGAAACTAGGAGGTGTACCTTTTACTTTAATTAAAATAAAATTTCCTGCCCTATGAAACAGTTTTTCCCTAAAGTTTAGCAGGCTTCTATGCTCTCAGCCTTCCATTAAGCTTAGAAGACCTGGCTCCCCAGTGCTGGAATAAGATTGGATAATTGTGTGTTAGAAGATTGACTTGGTACCAGAATTTTGTTGTTTTTAATTCTTCAATCTGTTTAGTTTTGTAATGTTAATATAATTTTATATGTTGTTGTAACTTTTGATTGGAAGCCACCCAGAGTTAGTTGGAAGATGATGGGTGGCTACATAAATGTTTAAAATAAAATAAAAATAATAAACAAAATTAAATATCTTTGGTTCACGGCCATTCTATGGAAGAACTGCCTAATAGAACTTTATCCAAGACTGATCAAATTAGAATCAAATAAAGATGTGAAATTATATGGTATCTAAATAGAGCGTCTAAACTGATATTTTTTGTTGCTACGGTTATTTGCTAAAACCAATTCTTTGCAATTTCAGTAATATTGGAAACTTTTTGATTGCAAGATTTCTTTCTAATCTGCTTAGTAATGAAATCAAAATTTCAGCAAAAAAGGCTGGTTGTAAGAATGAGTCTGAGAAAATTTTCCAACTGAAGAAATTTATACAAAAAATATTTCCTTTCTTTTCCTGCACTCCAGAAGCAAGATATTCTTAAACAAGTAAGCATATCTGGTATATATGTTAGCTGATATACTTGATTAATGCTATTAATTTCTGTAGATTTATTTTATATGTTCTTTTTCATACTTAGATATTGATGACCAATAACCCTTATACAATATAATGTCACCTCTTTTTGTTGTTGTTGCATGACATCTGAGGGTATAATGAAAGTTAACAGTAAAGAAAGATAGTGAAGATAAAGAAAAAATAAAGTAGATTTGATACTTACTGCAGGTTTTTTTTAAAAAAAATATATCATATGAAGGAAGCATATGATTAATATTCAAAGATGTACATTCTTTATACTGTGTTTTGGTTGTGCCTGTGGGATTGACAAATATTCTCTGTACCTCTGTGTGTTGATAAATTGAGCAATCCCTGCCATATTCAGGGATATGGCTGAAAAGAACGCTGAAAAATGAAGGAGAAGCAATCTTGTGTGCAGGAGACATTAATAATTGGAGTGGCATAAAAAGTATTAAGTAAAGAGCAAAAGAAAACAAACAGTTTTGTAGTGGAGATGATCAGCAGTCTAAAGAAGCAATAATAACATGGAATGTAGAAATGACAAATGCTGAAACTATATATGTGGAAGAAAGTGGAGCCAATTCAGTCTGAGAGAAACATATACAAACCAGTTAAAAAACAACAACAAACAAACCAGAAGGGGAGGGGGATTTGAAACTGAGAGAAATATATCTTATTTGGGTAATCACAGTTTATTTAATTTATAGCCCAACCTTTATTATTTATATAAATATTTATATAAACAACTCAAGGCATGAACATACCTGTACTTTTTTCTCCTATTTTCCCCACAAGAATAACCTTGTCAGGTAAGTTGAAATGAGAGAGGGTGACTGTCCAAAGTCACTCAGCTGGTTTTTAATGGCTAACGGACGACTAGAGCTCACATCTTCCAGTGTCTTGCCTGGTGCCCTAACCACTAGAGAAACTGGTTCTATATCACATCCTTGTTACAATGAGTTAAGCCTAGATTACAGAATGAAAAGTAAACTGCTTTTCCAAGGAGCTTGCTTTTTTACTTAGCTTTAGTTAAGAATGAAGAGGATTAATTCCTCTTGTCTTTCATGAGTTCATGAGAGTTCCTTGGGCTAAACTAAGCTATAGATTAATAAAAATAAAGTTGTAATTTTAATGTATAAATTATGCATGGATCTCCAATGACTTAAGAATCCTTTGTCTACAAGAAATAGAGGTAAATATGAAAACCTTACATATATCTTAGAGAGGGAGATTTATTTATCTATATCAGGGCTTTTCAACCTTTTCACCCATGGTACCACTATTAGGATATGGCAATATCCGAGTACCACCAGTTGCCTAGCAAGGTGTCAAAAACTTGATGACCAAAAAAAAAAAAAAAAGGAAAAAAGTGATAAAGTACAGGTAGTCCTCGACTTATAACAGTTTGCTTAGTGACTGTTCGAAGTTACAATGGTACTGAAAAAAGTGCCCCCCAAGGCAGAGTCGAGCAAGACATCTGCCTGCCCGCTCGGCAGTGCTCTCATTCCCCTCCCCCGCTACCACTTTTCTAGCGGTGCCAGGTGCCAATATACTACAGGTGGTACCAGTACCACTGGTTGAAAAGCCCTGATCTATATCCTGCCTTTATTATTTTTACAAATAACTGACTGGCCCAAAATCACCCAATTGGCCTTCACGGCTAAGGCAGAATTTGAATTCATAGTCTCCTGCTGACTAGCCTGGTGCTTTAACCACTAGATCAAATTGGCTCTCAAAGATATTTAGGAGAGTACAAAGATAAAAGACTAGTTATCACAAACCACATATTATATATTTTAATCCTATTCTAATAAATTCTCTTTATAGTCCTTCTGTTTACTTTAATCATGGCAAATAACATCCCACACGGTGATATCTTATCATTTTTCTTTGTCTCATTTCAGAAAATTTCTGTAATTTAACCCATCCTTTTTTATCCAAAATAAGAAAGCTTTCTAAACCATTATTCTAATTATTATTTGGATGTTGCTTTTAACGATTAAGTTATCAGCTGGTTTTATTTGTAAAATCATTGTGTCATCATTTTCCCTGCATTTCAAAATCTATTTTTGTATTCACCGTATCATTTTTCATGTCATTTTTATAATCTGGCATTTTTTAAAAGTCCAAATTCACATTCAGATCTCAGGCTCAGGCTGTTTTATCCAGTAAAATGTTGTGCTCTTCTATATCCTCTGTTATAGTAGCAGATAATCTTGTGAGTAATTTCTGAGTAGTTTATTCCCAGATAATGAATTAATTTCTTCCATGGTGAAATATTATTGCTCCATTTTATTAATGAGTCCCTTCTCCTTAATTATACTCATTTTTCTCTGGTTCCCTCCAGTCAAGGTTCAAAGTGTTTTCATGTCATACTTTTTCAGGCATCGAAACTCCCATGGGAAGATTTCATATAGTTAATTCAAAAGTTTTCATATATTCTTTTATGAAATTTTAAACACTTACAGTAATATTCATTGAAGTTTTTTCCAAAATCTGCATTCTAGTCCCCCTTTTTCTGTTTTTCCAAAATTAAAGCTTTTCTTTTTAATCCTTAGACTTACATGGAGCTTCTTTTATACAGGGTAGCAGTTTCTCCAGCATAATAAAAAATATTTTGGAAGGTTTTTAATTTCTAGTAAATCAATAATGAGCAACTTATTAATTAGTAAGAGAAGAAGTGGGTGAATCCAATGTCTCTTTGAAGGTGTTGAATTGTGGCTGATGTTTTCCCCTGGTTCTCAGAACTAACTATGGCATAAAAATATTACATATATTGGAGGGGAGATAATTTGAAATCCTTAATTATCTCAAATATGCTGTCAAGATTGAATTGCTAAGATGCTTGCTAACTTCTGTCACTACTTAATTTGCCATAGAAACAGGGGGGAGGGGAAGCTCGGGAGAAACAGGATTTTAACAAGACATCTATGGACCATGAGAATCAAGGTCCAAAAGCAGGTGTCTGATAGAGAAGTGGACTGTTCTCATAACAAAGCAAAGAAACATGACTGGGTAACATGAACACTTGATGGGTGGGGGTTATGGAGAGCTATTGTTAACTAACCAGATTTTCGTATAGGAAACTTAGAGTTGATTTTGCTTCTTCAGTACCGAGATGTGTGTTCAATAAAGATTATCTTTTATGGCATCTCAAAGGCATAGAGTTTCCTAAATGTTGAATTCTCTAGTCAAACAGTTGACATATGCGTTGGGAATTTCTGTTTCCAATAGGTAAATTTTTAATCTGAATCTACAATCTTTATTTGCAGACAATTGATTTAGAAGGTTTCAAGTTATTTATGAAGATCTTTCTTGAGGCTGATTTACCACATGAATTTTGTGAACATCTCTTTATATCTTTTGGAAACAAAGTTCCTTACAGCAGTCCGTTGGAAAAGAATAAATCACCATTCCTTTCAGGAGGTAAGTTTGATTGCCCTGAATGGACCTACCACTTGTTCTGGGATGTAATAAAAAGCCTTTAATGATCCTTAAATTCTTTCCATTCTTTTTTAATGATTTAAAATTTTTGTAGTGGGAATAGCACTTTTAGGAAAGGGAAGGAAATTGGGTATAAATTATAAATCTGATATGGATATCTGAATAGAGAAAAGGTTGGCAAACAGAAAAATTAAAAGGCTCAACTCTATTAATTATTCCAGATCTCTCCTTTCAAAGTAATTTTTCAAATGAGAATAGACCCATTACATTTGCATGTGTAAGATTTAAGTTGATCTTAGATGCTTACTGAACACCCGTTAATAAACTGTGGTTGTTATTCCCCATACATTTATCAACTGTTTTGATATTCATAGAATACCACAGTTTCAAGGATATTTTTCATGAAAATAAGAATTGATTGTATTTAAATATATTGCTACGTTATTATTTAGGCATTTTTCTTCAACCATCATCTGGCTTCTTACTTATTATTCAAAGCCCATTAAAACAACTGGAATCAAATTGCATTTAGTTTAGTGCTTTAGGTTTTTTTACAAATATAATTATGACATTAAGCTTGGATCATATTCAGTTGAAGAGATTACCACATTTCGATTGCTTCCTCAGAATACAGCAAGAAGCTGTGCTTAAACAATTGCAGAAGAAGAATAAATGAAATGAGAATGAAAGCATCTTATAAAAATAACTGAAAAAATTCAGATGAATTATTACTAATGATATAGTGCTACTATTTCTTATCTAGAAGTTCACAACAAAGTTATCAAACCTTTGTGCTTGGCAAAAATTATTGTGGATGTTAAAGTAGCATCCAAATGTAAGCAGAAAATGTTGCTGTACAGTATATGATGAAAATATTCTATGCTGCTTTTTTATATTGGTTCTGAAATGAGTTAATTTAAATTTCTGTTATAAATATCCCTAGAACTATAGATAATTTAATACAGTGGTACTTGCAACCCTAGTAATGAAATATGTATAGAATTGGAATAAGAGAGTGGCTGAGGCCTTGGACTCAATTGTTCCAGTAAAATCTCTTTCCTTTCAGCAATTTACAGAGGAGCTGAGGTAGATGACATGGAAGAAAATACTGTATATCTAGAGTATCATTGGCACTCAATAAAGGAATAAACTCAACCAAATATGGATTAGAGCTGCTAGTTGTGTGTGTTCCTGGATCAACAGGCTCTACTTACAATCACTTATGTCCTAGTCACTTTCAGACTGGACTATGCCATGTATTGCAATGGGGCTGCCCTTGAAGAATATTCAGAAGATTCAGCTGGTGTGGACTATAATGGCACAAGTAGTTATGTGCACTGCTAGAACTGTGTATGTTAAACCTCTGCTCTGTGAATTGCAATTGCTTCCTAGTCCTGATTTTAACTCTTTATGCTCTTTATGGCATGAGATCAGGCTATCTGAGGGATCACATCTCCCTGATTATATCTGCCCCACCCCATTAAATCTGGCAGAGAAGGCATGTAGGTACCATCTGCAAAGGACCTACAATTGGTGGATCCCAGGAGATGTGTTTTCTCTGCCATGATGCCCATCTTATGGAACATCCTTCCCCCTATAATAATTTATTTATTTAAGAAAATTTATATGTCTGCTCAACTCACTCTTGGTGACTCTGGGCAGCTTACAAATTAGATTAGCTTTATCCATTTCAAAAGGCTCACAAGATCTTTTATTTTATCAGAACTGGGACTCCCAGAGATACAGAAACTTGCTTAATGGCTGCCTTGTTATTCTTATTTCCTTTTTTTCTATGGTTTGTATCTTTGTTTTTTTATGATATTTATTAATTTGAACTTTTATATGATATATTTGTTTTGTTTACAATTATTGTTTATCTGAATGTTGTGCACTGCCCCAAATCACTTTTGGTAAAATGGGTCACTATATAAATTTGATTTAAAAATAAATAGCCTAATTTATCACCTTGAATTATCCTTTGTGCAAAATGATGTCCATTTTCTCAATTGCTACTGAGACAAAGAAGTGATCTATATAAGGTATCAGAAATATAGGCAGGTGAGATGTTTCAAATATTTTGTTTCTTGTTATACAAGTAAACAGTATGAATATTATTTCAGGTTTGAGAATTGCTAAAAGCATAACTACACGTCCTCAACATCTTTCCACAATGCACACACCAGAAATAATCCAGTTGAAAGATATTGTTTGTTATCTTTCCCTTCTTGAAAGAGGGAGACCTGAAGACAAACTAGAATGTATGTATTTCACGTAAAACAAGGCCTTGTTGTTTGTTTCCAATCGCCTTCAGTTCATTTATATATGTATTTAATTATCATAACTTTGACAAATACAATATGTTTAGACATTTGAGAGAATATAATTTTAGAATTGTAAGCCAGGTATTTCACTGGTTTAGTTGCAGGACTGTAGAAGTTAATTAATCTATATGTTCAGAAGTCAATTCCACTGAGTTCATAGGATCTGTCTTCTAGATTATTATGTTGTATCCTTAAGGCATTACATTTTTTCAAGGAATAAATTTATTGTACTCAATTTCTATGCAGCTTTGGCTGTCAAATAACTTGCATCCCTCTATTGGTTGTCAAGAATGTTTGATAGTACAAAACGTTTTTGTGAGATTTGTCAGTGACTAATGTGAACTAGCAGAGTTTTCCCCAGTATTCTGAAATGGCCTTGATTTAGTAGACATAGGAAAAATGGCCATTGTAATTAATATTTGTTATTATTTTAGAGTGTAGAAATATTCTGAAACATATCTTTTCATTATTTTACCCAAAAAGTTAAATTTGAAATATTAACTTGTTTCAGTTGTTTTTGAAATGTACCTGTGCAGGTACATCAATGTCTGATCATGCACAGGTACAATTATGACATCTGGGTTATTGATTATATAACACTGTGTTGGAAGAAGGAGTGGCAGAACATGGGCATTCCTCCAGGTTCTACCACTCCTTTTCCTGCATGCTGATGCAGCTTCATTTCCACACAGTAAAATGGAAACAGTCCAAATAAAATCCCTAAGAAAACTTATAAAAATATTATGTTACTGGTATTGCAGAATTTCATATACTGTTTAAAAGAGAAAAAGTGAATTATAGAGACCAGCATTTTTTATTATGGCAGAGCAAACATAAATCCATGAATGTGTTTAATATTTGAACTTAATCAACTATTGTTGATTTATTTATTATTAAATGTTTTATATGGCTTCCCATCTTGTTAAACACTAACCTGGCTAGCCCACAACCATAATAAAATCACAAACAAGAAAACCAGGTCTTTAATCCATCATCTTTATCCATGAAATACTAAGTAGCATGGTGGTCCCATTTATAATATGACTGTCTACATCTCTTTCCCATTAAATCCATTAAATGTTTAAATGTATAACGCTACAAAAAATTATCCATTCATTATATTCTGAAGGTACAATGCATAATACTACTAGTTTTGTCTAAATTCCATATTGAAGTGTAGATAAATTACATCACTAAAAAAGCTAGATCTTGTCAAGGGCATAGTACCCCAGTCATAATATATGGTTGTGAGTATTGGCTTATTTGAAAGGCTGCATAAAGAAAGATTGATGTCTTTGAACTCTGATGCTGGAGAAAATTGTTGTTCTTGCCTTCAACCTCAAGAACAAATTATTCAATACTTGAAATATATCCATACAGCTTCCTGAAAGTATTAATAATGAAGTTAATACTTAAATATTTTGGACACCTAAGATAGAAACAAGAATCTTTGGTGAAGACTCTGAAATTTAGAAAAATCCAAAGCAATAAAAAAGAGGTCTACAGAAGATGTCATGATACATTGTTGAGTTATTGACAGACCATCATGACAAATGTAGTTCATTGGCTCACAAAAATCAGAACAACTGAGCAACAGTAACAAGATATGTCCCATAAACTAAGTTCAGAAATGCATACTTTTCTAAGACATCATTGTACATTAAAGCAGCAACATACAATATTTACAGTTATGTATGCTAAAATATAGACAGTAGGCTCTATCTGCTGGATATTCAGTTCCATTGCAAGTTTAGAGATAAGATCTCAAACAGTATATTTTCTGAGCAGAATAATAATCCAGTATCTTTAATACAAATATGTAACATATAAATTTTAAGATTAATTTCAAAGGAAAATATTTTCCTATTTTTATATTAAGATTGGTTTATGCAAACCAGATTTTTTTCATCTATATATGAAGGAATAAATTATATGAGTTGGAGAATATTAGGTGCAGCTAATATGTCAGCAAAATAATACAGATGTTATTTCTTTTCATGATCATCCTGTTTAGATATTATATAGATATATGTACACTTTTATGATAAAGTGGTGTATTCTATGAGAAACAATTTGTTAGCTGGTTGCAATAACCCATTCTCCTCCTTTAAAACACAATTTTACTAACTTGGAATTTGCTATTTAATTAATAATGAAATAATTTTAATATATTCCTGAAAACTAAAAAGAAATTTTATGTACATGTATTTTTCCAATCCTGTCTCAATTAAAATCAAAGACTAGATCAGTGATGGTGAACCTTTTAGAGACCGAGTGCCCAAAAACTGGCCCCACCCCCACTCCACCCCCTGCCCTGCCCCCGCTCTGCCCCCCCATCCCCTGCCCCGCCTGCCCACAGGACCACTCACCGCCTCCAGGGCCCGTCACATATTGCCCAGGCAGCCCAGCAGTGCTATGGCGGTCACACCCTCTGCCCACGCCCTGAAGCATCAACTGCATGATGGGGTGTGAGGGCAGAGTCTTGTCTATGCTGCCTGGCTGCCATGTCCTTGGCTGTGCTGCTCCGTGTTCGGGGGCGACTCTCCTCCAGGGGGCTGCTGGAGAGGAGGGGGTCACGGGGGAGGCGAGGCTGGGGCAACAGCATGTGTGCCCACAGAGAGGGCTCCGAGTGCCGCCTCTGGCACCCGTGCCATAGGTTTGCCACCACTGGACTAGATCTTCAAGGCTGAATCTCCACATTACTACAAAGTGGTGATGAATGAAAAAATAATATGTGTTTATTTCTCAGATTTTATTTCTAATGTAGTAGTTTCTATATTACTTATGTTAGAAATATAGTTTTAATTCTTTACCACAAAATTATTTTAATATATTATTTCTCTTTAGTTATGTTTCGCTTGTATGACACAGATGGAAACGGCTACCTGGACAGTTCGGTAATTTTATTAATTAAAACATTCTTTAATATTTATTTATTATCTTACTTTGATTATTTTTATAAATAATTCAAGGTGGCAAACATAACTAATACTCCTTCTTCTTCCTATTTTTCCCACAACAACAACCCTGTGAAATGAGTTGGGCTAAGATAATGTCTGACCCAAAGGTACCCAGCCAGTTAGTCATGCCTAAAGGAGGACTAGAACTCACAATCTCCCAGTTTCTAGCCTAATGTCTTAACCACAAGACCAGACAATCAATACTGAAATAATGAGTTAGGAAGTATACCCTGGAAATACAATAAATAGTTTAATAATATGTAGTTTTGAGTTGCACTGGGGGAATAGTTATACTGTTTGCGTGTTTTGTTTAATATTGTCAGAATAATTATCCACCTTTTCCAAAGAACAGGAACAATTCTGTATTCTTCCCACTTTTAGCTAAATGTTACCAGTGTTTTCCAGCTGGATTAAAAATAATAATGTTTGTCTGCCGTTTTAAGCTCCTCAATGTGAACAATTTCAAGTTTTCCATTCTAATTTACTGAAGACGCAGCTGCAGTTATGACTTCCTACACTCCTTTCCCTTTGGATGATCATTGCCCTGAGCTGCTGGGTAGCTTGTATCTCTGAACTTTTTTTTTATCATTTTTTTTTAGTTTACAGTTTCAAAACAATTTCAATGTCTGATCTAAAATCATCTTTAACAAAAGCCGGGAGCAGCCTGGGATATAAGTAGCTTAGGCTGCTGCACAGAAATGCCTTTAGTTCTAACTTAATTTAACAGCACTGTTGATACATAATCATTTATTTTTAAGTTTATAGCCCATATTGCCATCTACAACAAAAAGATGAGTTAAAATTCAAAACTCATTAAAAGCAAAACAAAACATCAGATAAAAGCAGCAATCAAAACAGTCAGACTAAAGCAAACATCACAGAATTATTACAGAAATAAACCAGATGAAAGCATATACAAAGAGGATTTTAAAAATCTGAATATTAAATTACCTTTGATTAACACCTAAAAATTAAGTGTGTAAGTGTTAGGGGATCTCTGTGGATAATTTTATAATTTTATAATTAGAAACTTCTATTAATTGGTTCCATTAAGTTCAGCAAGATGAAAGAGCAAATTAGTCTGGAACCATGATGCGATGATTAAAAAAAGATAGGGTCCTAATATTAATTACTTTCTGAAGTACTTAACAGTTTTATTTTTTCTTTTTATACTGATTAGTATAACATCAGTATAGATGTTTCATTTAAATAGGCTTCCAAGAATAAATTTATGTTCTATTGCCTATTCCCAGCTGGTGTTCCAAAAAATCTATTTCGCAAGAGAACAATATTATGTATTTTATTATATTTTTCTATTGCCTTATTTATTGTATTTTTCTATTGCCTTAAACTGCAATTCCAGAGACTATACATCATATTTTGTATAAAACAGGAAGTTATACATGCAGTTTCTGTTTTTACAACTTTGATTTAATTCATTGTAAAAAAAATCTTCTGAATGAGGAAATAAAAAGAACAAGCATGGAAAAAAAAATTCAAAAATTTTTTTTTTTACTTTTAAAATGACATGTGTAAATGAGATCGAGAGACTAGGTGAAAAGATGCTGCCTATGGTCAGATAACAGAGAGTGTCCTATCCTGCTCACACATGCTCACATCACAAGTCTTTATTGAGGCTTCAATAGCCCAAATGGTATTCCCCAGGATTCCCCATACAAGAACCAGAGCAAGACCCAATGAGTCCAATTTTCCAAGTCAGGAAAAACACAGAGGAAACTGAGCAAAATACATGGTCCAAAATACAAATCCCACAAGCCAAAATACAATTCCAAGACTCACAAGGCAAAGTACAAAGTCCAGAAAAAGAGTCAAGGGCGATGCTCCAAGGCAAGATACATGGTGGCTAAACAAATGCATGATCCGAAAGAGAAGAGGTGTTCTCAGTGTCTCTCTGCTCCACATGCAGAAATAAATAGCAACACATGCAACACATTAGGAGGTGTGAGGCTACCTCCTTGTGAGTAGTCTTGCTTACCTCCATTGCACCTCTCTGCTCTTGCCTCTGCATGCCCTAAGATCCATGGAGGAGGTAGTTCTTCCTCATCCCTGCTTATTGGTTGCAGTGCCTCTTCTCTGGCCTTGGCTACAGCTGTGTTCTTCCTTCCATTGTCAGCCAGCCACTCATCTGATTGCTCCTCCTACCCTTCTGAAGTTCCTGGTCTCTCCTCCTCTTCTTGCCCATTCTCCTGGTTAAGAATCTGCTACATATTCTGGACATGCCTCTCCTCTGCTGCCGCTCCCAAGTTCCTGAAACAGGCTTTTCCTTATTATGTGGGCACCCATGACAGAAACAGAGCACACAGCTGCATAATGTTTGGATATTATATTATGATTCTATTAATATAGTTTTACAATAAAGTAGAATTAGCTTATCTGGCTGTATTTCCTGTCTGGTCTCCCTGATAATCCTGACATTTCTCATAATTTTGATAAATCTTCATTATTATTATTTTAATAAATTACATGTTGATTAACTTGTCTTAGGTACTGTTTCTATTCAGTTTGGCACTCAAATTGCTCTTGGATGCCATGGCCTTCTGAATCTTTACGAATCATAGAATTGTAAGGTTGAAAGCAATATTATATTTATTTTAGTCTAATCTCTATTCAGACAAACTTCCCAGACGAATGATTGTGTACCCTTTATTTGGAGAATTGGACTTTAGTTTCCACTCATTCTAAGCATTGGTCGTTCTGACTAGATATGATGGGAATCTTAGAACATGATAATATTTGGAGTTTGCTATATTCTTAAAGAAACATCATCATTTTAGTCATTGTTTAGGCCTCTTCCATAAGTTTCCAACCAATACGGTCCTGAGCTTTGTTTTGCCAATTAGGCCCACAGAATTTGCTGATGTCGTCAATCCATCTTGCTTTTGGTCTCTTTCTTGGATGCTTTTTATTAAGCGGAATCCATTCTTTGACTGCCTTGATCCACCTGCCATCAGTTCTTCTTGCTATGTGACCAGCCCATTTTCCTTTCAATTCTTTTATTCTCTTGATGACATTGTATAATTTCATTCGTTCTCTAATCCATGTGCAGATCTTTCTATCTTGTCTTGTAATGCCAAGTGTGTATCTTTCCATGGCTCTTTGCACCACTCATAGTTTTGTATCAATTAGTGTCCATGTTTCACCGACAGAACAACACACTGATTGAAAACTTTTCTCTTCAGGCATAATGGGAGGTTGTTCTTGAAAATTACTCTTTGCTTGACTACCAACCACATTTAATACACCATTCAATTTTCTTTATAATATCACCTTATATTGAGATACATTGGCCAAGGTATATATATTCAGTGCTTTTTTTGTAAGAAAAAAGGTGCAGGAACTCACATCTTGTTAATCTTTTATTTACCTTTTGCATGTAGTCAATCACTGTACACACATCAGTTGTGTAACGAAACATAATGGTCGTCGCCCACAGTAAGCACTCAGTGTGTGACCACACGACCACAACCGAACAGCCAGACGAAGTATGCATGCATTGGACTCAACACACAAGCAGCCCGCATGCACCATTTTAATGATTTTGCTGCCAACCTGCTATGCTTGACAGGGCAATTCAAGTCCAGGTGGACCAAACATCAAATTTTCAAAAGTTACTTTTCAAACTTGGAAAATCTGTCAAAAGAAGGTGCCGGAACTCCATTTCGGTGAATTCTATGACAAAAAAAGCACTGTATATATTAGTAGTATTCTTAAAGTACTCTTTAGTAGTCGTACTCTGAAACAACTCTTAAAGAATGGTTAGTATGATTCGTAGATTAAGTTTTTTTGAAAAGGCACAATTACCAGTTTTCAAAGACAACTTACTCAGATGGTACAAACTGTTGGGAAATGTGAATTAAAGCCAAACTTCTTTAGCTTATCTTGGATTTTTAAAGATTTTTTAAAATTTTACATTATAAAATTATAGCTTAATTTTAGTCTGTTCTAAAGACTAACATTAGAATTTGACAATGCTATGTCTAAATTTAGTTATTTCTAAATATTCCTAACCCAAAACATTAGTTAAAGTATTAATTCATATTTTATATTATCATTTGGTTGAATTCTAGGATAAGAAAATGACTTTTAATTAACAAGATGCTTTGTGTTTTGCTTTTATGTCCAGGAACTTGAAAACATCATTACTCAAATGATGCATGTGGCAGAATATCTTGAATGGGATGTCACTGAACTCAGTCCAGTAAGCATCAAGACAGGTCAATTGTTTAGTTAGCAGTGGAAATATCTAAGAACAGTTCTATATAATTTTGATTAAATTACTATTATG